GGATATTGTGTTTTAGTAGGAGGAAATTTGGTGTCCTGGAAAAGTAAGAAACAGAATGTAGTTGCTCGGTCTAGTGCAGAAGCAGAATACCGAGCAATGGCTATGGCAACATGTGAACTAGTCTTGACCAAACAATTGCTCAAGGAGTTGAAATTTGGTGAAATCAGTCGGATGGAACTTGTGTGCGATAATCAAGCTGCACTTCATATTGCATCAAATCCGGTGTTTCATGAGAGAACTAAACACATTGAGATTGATTGTCACTTCGTCAGAGAAAAGATACTCTCAGGAGATATTACTACGAAGTTTGTGAGATCGAATGATCAACTTGCAGATATTTTCACCAAGTCCCTCACTAGTCCTCGCATTGATTATATATGTAACAAGCTCGGTACATATGATTTATATGCTCCGGCTTGAGGGGGAGTGTTAGAGATAGCTATGTAATTGTCCCACATTGGAATAGGAGTAGTATCCCCTTTGTATAGAGTAGCTATAAATAGCACCTCTTGTATTGCATCACATACAACAATATCAATATATCATATTTTCTCCCGTGCCTTCTCACAATAATGAAGGAAAAGAAAGGATATGATGCAACATTAATTATCCTTGGCGGTGGAAACCTGTCTAATTAGATAAAGAGAGAACTTTTCATACATGTTGGACATGTGTCACCAAAAGTTAATGCTTACCACCTTACTTTATGCCAAGTGGCAACTACAAGGACATTCTTATCCACAATTTCTTAATTAGCTACAAAGATGCCACCTAGTTAAAAAAAAGGACTTATGAGTCGCTACGAATTCCTTCCATTTGTGGCTATCTTGCAAGTTTTAACTTTAAGAGCCATCTAATTGGTATTGTATGGTTGCCACGTGGGGATGGGATAGGAATTTGGTGTTGAATGTGAAAATGCTATACTTAATTGTCTAACTTCTTGTTCATGTGGCAATGTTTGAACAGTGGCAATGTTTGCAGAGAATGATCAAGTTCTACTTTTTGCTATTCTAATGACTATGAGACAACTATTTGACAAATGTTTAAGATTTGACAACCTCCTTTGCATAAGCTCTACGTGTAACTTCAATGCTTAGCAAGCCTTCTCAAAAAGTGACACCACCTAGTATTCACTTATTAGTCATACATTACTTTAGTTGTCATGGTCCCACGTGGACAAGACAATTCTTAAACTTACCCACAATTTTCTAAGATGCCACCTCCATGATGACTTGTATTAGTCACTTGTTGCTCCTTACTATGTAGTCACGTGGTGACATCCTAGTCACCTTGCAATCCTCCATAAATCATCATCCTAAAGTACTACTATAAAAATATTTTTAAGAAGAATTATGGTACTATATCAAAATGTATCTAACAGTATCAAGGTTGTTAAACTTACGGGGTCTTACAATAATATTGTCACAAATCCTCTATAACCTCATGAATGACTTTAATCCCTTTTAAGCTCGTATGGATATTACGACTCATCCTAGTACTAAAGTACGGGATGTCATACTACTAACATTAAAGACTTCCTTTCCATTCTACACGTGTAATCTTCTAGGTGCACATCTAGTGACTCATAACCAAACTTTACACGTGTAAACCATGCACTTTAAGTGCTATGACTCATATATGTACACTTAGTGCCACCCTTGCTCATATTAATTCCATGTGGCAGCCCATTAATGTTCCTCTTTAAATGTGTCATCCTTTGGTCAATCCTTTCATTACATGAAGACACCACATATTTTTGCGTGTATGGATATATAACATTTACTACCACTTGTCCACATCCCACATGGCTTATGTCCCACGTACCGCTTATTCAATAGTCCTAATAAATTTCTAGTCTTACACTACAACCTTCCAATTAACCAACTACACACATAATTAATTCTAGCACTCAATTTTCTTAAATACTAATATACGTCATATACTTTACTATTATGATCATGTGGTATAGCACTAGTCCATAAATATGGGGTATTATAGCTTGGACCTTATTTCACCTCAAAATGTCAAACTTCGACGATACTCAATTTCTTCGATTCGTTTACCCTCTGATCTTCATGACACTTATCACTTGTTTGGAATATCACAAATACTTATAATCTCAAAAATAGTCTTGTCCATGAACTTAAATAAACTATCTTATGACAAATCCAATATAGAAAAGTACGGGATGTAACACTTCCAAAACTTTGTGGGTGTCTTAATAGAAAAAGGAGAGGAAAGAAAATAGTTTGTGGGTGCATGCATGATTAGCTTATTGCTTCTATTGTGGTAAATCCACTTCTGTTTCTTCGCTCGTGCTAAGTAGACTACTTTCCAGAATGAAGTCTTGAAACTCTTTGTGACGGTGATCAAGATTGGCACTGCATTGTGTCGGACCTTGGGAAAGGCCTATGATTATGTGAATTGGTAATTCTTGGATTTTTTGATGATGAGATTGGAATCAGTGAATTTTTGGTTCAATAATGAGGTCCCTGTTAGTCTTGATGATCGAGTATCATTTGTAGTGAATCATATCTTTTTTGTAGTCCACTGCTCTTTTTGTGTACCACTTGTATAGTGGTAATTTCCCATGATGTCAATATAACTATTACTTTATCGATAATAACAAAATAAAAATCTTCTTGTTATGGTTCTCTAAAATGTCTTGCAGGCTTCTCCTCTCCCAGATCCTCTTCCTGCTTTAAAAGAAAATAAATTCCTGAATAATGGATATCCTCATCATTGCAGGTAGATTTGGTAAAGAGACATTGTTTTCCTGTTTACTGGACCGGAGAAAACCGTCGTGTCTTAAGAGGTCACTGGTTTGCTCGTAAAGGGGGTTTGGATTGGCTTCCGCTGCGTGAAGATGTTGCTGAACAGTTGGAGTTTGCATATCGCAGTAAGGTAATCGGCATCACTAAGAGTGGCACATCTTATGTATGCTCATCTGATGTTGACTGCAAAAATTTATATGTAACTGTTCTAATGTGCGTTGTTTCTACATGTTCCATTAGTGAATATCAGGCAGCATGCGGCAGATGTTGCGCTTCTACTACTTACTGCCAAAAATAAAATGCATGTGAAAATTGTACCTTGTTATCTGTTCGTTTACTAATCCAAGATGTGCAATTTTCTTTTTGAATAAATCTTTTACTCTCCTTTTCATTTTTTCTTGACCATCCAAAATTTTCCCTCAATACAAGTTGATGAGTTTTAGCTGGCTGCCACAGGTTTGGCATAGAAGAAGCTTTCAGCCATCAGGGCTCTATGCAGCTCGGATCGATATGCAGGGCTTCAGCCCAGTATGAGTTTGCTGAATTTATGGAGCTTTTGCATTTGTTTTTTGAGTCGTACTGTTAGTGATGCACTTGCTTACCACAATGCAGGGACTGCATGCTATTTTCACTGGAGAAGATGATACTTGGGAAGCCTGGCTAAATGCTGATGCGTCTGGTTTCTCTAGTGCTATGGGATTTGGGGGGAATGGCGTTAAGTTAAGGCGTGGATATGCTACTCCTCAGTCATCGAAACCAACACAGGCACTCATTTACACACTATCAAGTTTACTACTGTTGGTTCTCTTTGTTCTGATATCAAGTTTACCGATGTTGGTTTCCTTTGTTACTGATGATCTTATGGTGCTCAGTCTCATTGCATCTTCTCTTTTTTAAGTGGCCACGGTGGGGGAGGAGTAGCTTGAAAGACTTAAATTGTTTGATACAAATGCTATAAAAGGAAGAGAGAAAATGTCCTTGCTTCCCCCTCCAGTTAAAACTGGAAAATAAAAAAGAAAGTAAAAAAAAAAAGGTTCAAGTGAAATAGCTAGTATTTGGGAAAATTTGGGTTGGGACTGCATGCATGTAGACTTGATCACTTGGTTCATAAAATGTTATATTCCATCTATGCTGGAAATTCAAATGAGTGTCGTGAAGCTTGTAGCAGCTTTCTGATTGCAAAAAGCTGCTGGCTTGGAAATTGCAGAAGCTAAGTTAGTAGGAGGAGGTAAGTCATGCTAATATCCTCCTTTGTGGGTCTTCTTGTTTTTATCTGTCGATTGTGAGAAAATGATAAAACAGAGCTTGTATTGAATTAATTATGAAAGCCATACAGAAGGGCTCCTTGCATAGGAGTTTACACTTTAGGACTAAGAAAAGTTTATAATGTTGTAAATTATGTAACAGAGAAATTAATTAAATAAGGCATACTTAATTTGAGATTTCTACTTATGATAGGAGTAAGAAAATTTATAATATTGTAATTATGTAAAAGAGAAGGTAATTAAATAAAGAATATTTGAATACTGAGAGTTCTACTTATGATAGGGTTGACAAGAATGTTAGATATTATTAACCTGAACACATGAAACAAATCTAGAACATTTTAACATATACATCACCATTTCGTTTTATGTGACCCTTGTTTGATTGAGTATGGAGTTTAAGAAAGAAAAGAACTTAAACATGCCATAACATTTGTGTTGCTATAAGACTTCTGAACCTTGTGGTTTTAAATATAACATTACATTTGTTTGGCTATAATGCTTGTCATTAAGGGTAAAAGGGGAAGTGTAAGTTAAATTGTTTCCAAAGTTAGAGTGGTCATTCTTTTTGGAAGAGAGTAATAGACTGAAGAGCAAATAGTGTTACATAAACTGGAATGGAGGGAGTAGTTGATTCGATTTCTTGACTTCTAATACTCCCTCTAAAACTTGAGATAATTAAACAACTTGAGTTTGCGAATCAAAACTAAAAAGTGGAGTCGAGTATGACAAGAGGAGCTACTGTTTGAAGATGTGGCACTTGTGATTAGACAATGATATGACGATTGATTGGATAGTTGCGTGGCCATCGTTGAATTGTGTGATCAGTGCATCTGAAAGTTTTAGCTATTAGAGAGAATTTTAATTGATTTATTTTATGTCTATACTGCCCCATCGTATGGTGCGCGATTCTTTTTATTGGGCCAAGCACTTGAGAATATTTTCTTTTTCTGTTTATGGTTGACACTCTCTCCAATAGCTTAAGTTTTTAGATGAGTTGATCACATAATTCAATGTGGTACCAACAAAATAGAGGTTCCTGAATTCAGTTCTTATTTGTCCCCATTGACAAAATATTACGAGCTGCTTGGCCCAATAGAAAGAATAGGGTCAGATGTAAGTGGGTGTGTTATAGACGTAAAGTAAGTAATAGAAGTGTCCTTTTAAGAACAATTAAATGGATAGTGACATGGCGCTGAATGGCTTATGTGTCTAAGGTGACACTGACTAGACAATGGTGTGTTGTTGAACGGCAGCACTATGCTGACTAAAACGGATTAATCAACTTAACAGGTTAACGGGTTCAGACAACTAACTTGTCTTGACAGGTTAGCTGTTGGGTGTTACTTGATAGGTTAGCTGAAATTGATGGATAAATCAACCCTAGACATATTTGCAATTCGCTGCCATAAATTTAGGACGGCGTAGTGGCTAGAGAACACCAGAACAGTGATGGGGATGCTAGAGTCATCATTGGTAAGAAGAGTAGTGTCACTCAAATGGTCATACAAATTAGGTGAGACTACTAAATTTGTGGAGCGATTGTGAGTTTTTTAGCAGGGTAGGCAGAACAGCTTAAGTCTCTCTCAGAATTGTAGAGGCCCTGATATATTTTAAAGTATAAGAGAATAAAAGAGAGTACTTTCATAGAGTTGATTGTTAACAACATACACGAGGCTTTTTATACAGAAGCTTAGGCTATTAAAGATGAGGATTTTTTTTTCAAATATCGGGGTACCTAATTATCACGATAGTTGTTTTGATGGGGGAAAAAGATCCTATTACTACTTATATGAAATACAGATGTATTTATAACTTTAGTATTTTGGCTGAATGAATTTTTGGTAATTTTCATAACAGATACCCTGGACTTGTTGGGCTCCCTTATTTTGTTTAAACAAGTTCAGATTTTTGTGATGTTTTTGGTATCTTCTTGGTACTGTTATTGCATACAAAATTACAAATACTTCACCTTATCAAATAAAAGATACATCACAATTCAGGAGAACATCCTATAGTATTAACCTATATGCATAGAGTGATTCTAGAACCAACATATACTTATAGGCTACAACATTCTCTTGACTTTCATTGGCTTGTACTACTAAATTAGTTGCTAAGATGTTTTTAAGGAAGGAATAATTATTTGCTGGTTCAAGTGAGGAGTTAGAGAAAGGTTGACAAGCTTTAAAGAAATTATACACATACATGAACAATAATCCGGTCAGTCGTGTGTTTACGTCTGTGTTTAGCTTTTGGATAGTGAGGATTTATGTGGCATGCCACAACTAGCTTGGGATTGAGATTATTTTTGTATATTACTTTTGGATCGATTATCCTTCACTATGACATGCATATGCTAAAGTTTTATTATCTCGAAAAGAGATTTGCTTTTCCTTTTAGTAGGTATCTTTCATGTGTTCTTCAGTGGTATCCTTGATAAGAAGTTGTTTATGAGCCTTTTGTGCTAAGATCATTTAGAGTGCACACTGACTTTGGTGCACAGGGGGGATATTTAGGATTTAATCTATTTTCTCTTGTTCCTCACTGCTGAAATTGCACTCATGCATCTGTTTCTTTTAGGACGAATTACGTCAACAAAAGGAGGAAGAAATGGATGATTACTGCTCACAGGTAGTCCAAATGCTTCCTGTTCACTATACAAGTGTATGTGTTGTGATTATATAACTCATCAAGCAAATGGCATATAAACTAGGGAATACCTGTCTTGACCTTAAAATATTAACCTATCATGTAGGCTTGTATTAGTTGTTCTTGATTGAGAAAGTAGATATGAAAGGCATCAAAAGTACTAAGTTAATGGTACTTGGTACTTTGAAAATTGGTAAGATTCTTATGGTTTGGCAGGTTTTGCCCCTCTAAACTAAATTGCGACCAGTCACTTCGGTTTGCAGGATCAAGAAAATAACTAATTTTAAATGCTAACCTCACTCAGTGAACTGTAAATACTCCGTTCTATTATATTAGACTATGCTGTGAGTGCAGTAAATGAGTCTTCTTTCACTACCTTTTCTTAAATTATTACGAAATAACCATAATGTGGCCTTTTAAACTGTAAACTTATTCGAAATCATGTCAGGAAATACAATAACAAGTGTATTATGTACTTGACCAGCATAAATAGACGGTCAGTTTCTTTTGACTCTTGTGTGCATATTTTGGGACATTCTTTTTTAAATATAAAAGGATAACAAAATCAGGACATAAGGAGCTATACTACATTTATTTTGTGGAAGGGGAGCCTTGGCTTAACTGGTAAAGTTGCTGCCATGTGACCATGAGGTTACGGGCTCGAGCCGTGGAAACAGCCTCTTGCAAAAATGTAGGGTAAGGCTGCATACGATAGACCTTTGTGATCCGGCCCTTCCCCGGATCCCGCGCATAGCGGGAGCTTAGTGCAACTGCACCGGGCTGCCCTACTACATTTATTTTGTAGGACCTCTGAAATTGCTTTTCTTTGCCGGTTAGCAATTAAATAACAAGTTTGGAAATTACCTTTATGGTTGTCCTTACTAATCTTTAAGTTTGTGTGAACTTCTTGGAATATTTTACCTTGCTAGGCTCTTATGTTAGACCCACTCATGTTATTTACTATATGTTCATTTGCAACTGAACTGTGCAGCGGTTTTATTAAGTATTCAAGGATCTTTTCTTTTTCTGTTAACATCAGATCAGTTTTTGGCTTCAAACACTGGGATTTGGTCAAACAAAGTCATGAAGTTATTGATAAGGCAAATCCAGGAACTGTGCAAGCTCGAGAAAAATACTAGGCTAAAGTAGGGATTTGATCTGAACATAAACCTTGAGATTAATAACCAACAAGTACTTCTGTATTGATACGGAAGATGATCATAGCTGCAGTGCACTGAAAAATATTGCACCACTAACTCCTATCTTATCCTAAACCATAACAAACTCTGTGGACCCATCATCATCCTGTGCTTACAACATAAAATTGCATGACCTGTTTTAATTCCTAAGTCCCGCCAGTTTATAGCAGCAATATTTCCCCCATAAACCAACCGTTTTCCTCAAAGTTTGAATAAGAAATTTTGTACACAAAGAGTGGAAGTTCTGCCTTGTTGCATGCTCTGGTGTTGTTGACTACCATTGAACCAAGACTTTTGGAACAACCTTGTTCCCTTCTTGACAAGCCGGCAATCAAGGATGGCAATGGGTTGAGGGCAATGTGGGCCAGTGATGTTAATAACAGGAGGGTAGTTATTTTGAGCCATAGTTTTATGGCAAGGTTTGGGTTGAGAGACATGGAAGGTAGGGAGAAGAAGCTATAGGGCCAACTTTCTGCAAAATTTGGTGAGAGTTGTATTTTGAAGCGAGCTTATGAAATGGCTTTTGTGTTATGTAAAGGCATGTTTTCAGATCCGAGCCATTGAAATGAGGGAATTCCAACTTAGAAGAACGAGTCAACATGGTGTTACCTTGCTGGTAACATGAGCTGTGCGTCATCTTGCTCTCTGTGTGCACATGGCATCGCTCTTCGAGAACAAGTCTTGCCTGAAATTCCAGGGGAAGCTGGCTCCTCAACTCTATCTAGTCTTGCTCAATACCTTTGAACTCAACAAAGGCTTGCTCCATCTGATTTTGCCTCAAAAGCAAATTCTGCAGAGAGTTTTTGTAACAAATCTGTTAGATCTTTCGTCTCCGACGCTATTTACAATCAATACCAACTGAGCCAAGGACCTCTAGCTCTGATACCAAATGAAAAAACACATTTAGGAACTATGTAAGCTCGAGAAAATGCTAAGCTAAAGTAGGGAATCAATCCGAACGCAAAGCTTAAGAGTAATATCTAAGAGCTAATTGTGTATTGATCTGGAAGATGATCACAGCTTTAGCACACTGAAAAATGTCTAAATTGGCTGATATGTGCTATGTTGCATCGCTAACATACACCGTTATTTTATCCTACACCATAACAAGCTCTGGGACGGGTCAGCATACTGTGCTTACAACATAAGAGCTGCATGACCTATTTTAATTTTTCAGTATTCTTGCATCAGTTATTTCCCTTAGGGAGAGAATGCTACATAGTAAAATGACCACAGAAGCAAAAGTTCTTTTAGAAGTAAAGGTTCATTTATTTAGCTAGTTCAACCTCTGTATACGGTCTTGTGCTTTGCCCTTTGCCTATCTCTTCATCTTTGTGCATGAATTCACATTATCTTTTTATTAAAAATGATGATAGTATATGTGAAGAAAAGACGAACTAATCTTGTCCATTTTCATTGAGGCGGTTCTATCTGCATGATATGTCTTTATCCATATTCTTTAGAATTTAACAATTACTTGTTTAATCAATTTTCCCCTAACTTCATTTTTGTTTTTGTTTTTCCTTTTTCTTTGCTGATCAAGTTAGTCGCAATTCTTAATGTTTCCTGAAAGAAGTTATCCATAAACTTGTTCGTGATCTAATTGTAGATACCAGACTCTCATCTTTTCCACTTTTGACATCCTTAAAGAATGGTCTCCTTATTAGTTCTAAGGTAGCTTTTTGGTACAACCTTTATATCTGGATCCTGCTGGTATAGGTCCCTGTTCGACATCTGGTGTTCATGGTTCATGGTATTGGTCAAAGGTTGGAAAAATCAAATCTTGTGGATGATGTTAGTGACTTTCGTCATATCACGTCAATCCTTGCTGAACGACATTTAACCTCGTACCAACGTGGCACTCAGAGAGTCCTCTTTATCCCATGCCAGGTAAAGCTTTCATAGTTGGTCTATTAAATTTCTTATTTTGGGGTATGTTGTTATGAAAACAATCATTCGTCCTTGTGATGGAAAGAGTTCAGAAATTGTTTTTGACGCTACCTTGGACTATAACTATAGAGATCTCAACCATATTTTGTTTTATAAAACTACTTTATCGGAAGATCTCAATCAATAAAAGGCATCCCCGATTTGCTTGGAAGAGCCTTCAAAATGCTCCCAGGCACATTTCCCGAGTCTAGTTCCTTTTAGCTTTTCATGTCATTCGAGTCAACTTTCAAGGAGGATATTTCAGTAACTTGACCGGAATCTTTAGGTTTCATAATCCAAAGTTAAGTTCAACATAATATGGGAGAAGATACCATTTATTACAACTCAGGTTTTAAATCTTATGATTTTTAGAAATAGCTTGGGGCAGGAAGTATGGTTTGTTTGGATCCAGCATAGCAGGAATTTTATGAAGCAAGTAACGAATGTTTTATATAACAATGAGCATTAGAAGCATCTAAAATTAGTAAGTAGAATCATCTACTGGACATGTGATTCGGGGCCTAGCGATCTGAGACCATTTGTGATCTGCCCTCTGGTTGGTGGTCTTCCTTGAGATCATAAAAGGCTGAAGTAGGCCAAATCGAGGGTACCAAGGTTGTTTATGCTTAGTGGTGCTCAATAGAATTATTTCTGATTATCACCTTTGCTGCAGCTCTAAGATTTCCTGTTATATTCTTTTGATTTAACATTTCTTGTTAATTACAAGAATGCCTTTTCCCCCCTTGTCCCTTAGCATGTTTAAGTTTATCTTCTGCATTCCTGTTATATGATATTTTGGGTTTTTCTTTTGCATAAGTCTGTCCATTGCTGTTTCCTGTTGATTTGTGAATGTGAACTAACACCAGTTGTTTTTATGTTTCGACTGTGGGTACCACCAGTGGAGAAAGGGCTTAAAGCTTAGTGGTGAGACCACAGTTGAAAAAATTACTCTAGATGGTGTGCGGGGATTGCGTGAGGTGTTGAGTGCAACAGTGCATGATGTGCTGTATTACATGAGCCCCATTTACTGCCAGGCGATTATTGACTCGGTACCTCAAATTTGATTTCTGCTGTTCAAGTTTTCTCCCGCTGTCCTTTCCTCTTCCTGATGTTGCTTTGCTCTTTTGTTTGATTTACTGCCTATTTTCTTCTTTTCAAACTGGTGTTGTCTTTCTTAAATCCTATCCTAATAACAACTTAACTGGAAAAAAGAAAGAAAAATTCCGCCGTAATAACACTATTTACACTTGGCAGTGGTTCACTTCCTGGCTGTTGATATGTGAACCAACTGGTGCACATAACCTACTGCTTTCCTATTAATTGTAAAATGTCAGGAAAATAACTGTGCTCTTATGGTCTTATATTTGTTAAATTTTCAGAAGATGGGTAAATTAATATAATCGAAAAGGGTCATATTTGTCCCTCTACTATCGAAAATAAGCTCCATCTACCCTCCGTTTCAGTTTCTTAGTATAGCTACTCCTACCGTCATACTTTTAGACCGTATTCACCCCTCACCCGTTAAATCCTTCATCCCAACCTAAAAAAATACACGTGGCTAATCCTGGTTGGATAAAAGAACCCGCCAATCAAACCCACCCTGAAAGGAAATATCTGATAATATGTATCCCTATACGCCCGTTCACTTAATAAAATTTTATGCTTTATTAAGAAAAAGGGAATCCCTTTCTTCTTTGAATCTCTACTGTATGTTTAGCTTTCTTAAATATTTGCTGTGATGGGAGGAATTGCCCAGTAGCATTTGTCATGACGAAATCCTGCATATGCCGGATGACTAGTGTCAGTATATTATCTTCCAATGTTGCAAAGAAATAGTTCCTTTTTAAATGAAACGATACACGTGTAAATCACTCAAAGAAGTTATAAGTTAATATATTCTAAACTATTTACTGAATTTTAACTACAAATCATAATATAACTTATACAACAACAACAATAACATACCAAGTATTATCCGGGTAATACAAATTGAGAAAGTAACTTATATTTGAGAAAATTTTCTGTTATACAAATAATGTTGCTTCTAGGAAAACTGAGTGGGCACTAGGCATGCAGGATAAATCTTAATGCTGGAATAGAAATGTGGAAAAAAATATATCAAATGTAGTTTATTCTAACTTGAGGGATCGAAGGTTCTGCTTGTCAAAAAAAGAAAAAGAAAAAAAGAGAGAGACATGTAATGGAACAGCACTAAAGGCACCACAAATGATTCAACCAGTTTTACCAAATGAAAATGACAAAATACAAGGCTTCCCAAGCGTAAGGATAGTGACACAACTAGAAAGTGACTCTTAATGTCCTTCCTGCGGGACTTAGGGTATTGCATGAGTAGCATGACTTTCTGCAAAGAATTTGGTCACGAGCCTTTTATTATGTTTTATGAATTATCTATATTTACCCCTCATTTTGCTGTGTCGTTAATGTTTGGTTTCAATACCTATAAAGACATCCAAATGCACCGCTCTATGGGTGTGTGTAACCATGATGATTGGAAGTGTTAAATGGGGATGAGGTCATGAGGCAGACCTAAACTTGCATGGAAAGAAAGTTTGTCCCAAAAGATCTTTAATCTCTCAAAATCCATGCAAACTTGGCAGAAATAGAACAGAATGGAAGCAAAAGATCCATATAGGCGATACCACCTAGTTGGGGTTAAAGCTTAGTCACTATAATAGACTAAAATTTGGTTCAGCATTTGCTAGGATTTTTTTAGTTTAAGATTAATGTGTTAGTAGAAATTGTAGTAAACCTCTAATATTAACTGTTGAATAATGAATACTGGAAATGGAATGGTTCAAATTGAGTGAAATGGACAATCATGTAGCTTGAACCCAACTTCCTACGGGTTGAGGCATAGTTGTTATCCTCTTCGTTTCTGTGAGTACATTCTGTAGATGCCATTTTAGCATATTAACCCATTAATTTTCCTTTGCTTCATGTGATATGCATTAGCACTCATTATGGTCTATCAACTGCCTACTTTTAAATGTCTTTGGAACAAATCAATAAAAATAATTTTCATTAGTGTCTGGAGCTAATTGTTTATTCTCTATTCAGGTCTCCAACCAATTGAATAAGTTATACTTAAAGTTTCTTAAGAGGAATCCCGGTTATAGCGGAAAGGTATAGAGATGATTGAACCTGCAAAGTTTTCCTTGCTTATTGTTTAAGAACTCAATGTAAACAGATCATATTAAAGATATTAAAATTTCGTAAAATTTTCAGATTTCCTTATATGGTCATTCCCTTGGGAGTGTCTTGTCATATGATATCCTATGCCACCAAATAAAACTTTCCTCCCCTTTTCCCATGGAGTGGTTGTACAAAGAACAAAATGAGAATAAATCATCTCAGCCGGATCAGAGCAACCTATCTTTCGACCACAACTCTGCCTCCAGTTTAGATGATGAAAGCTTTACTAGGGGAGAAAATAAGAGTAATCTGTCAGATAAAGACAAAATGAAGGCAGAACCTAGTTCCTCAGACCCCCTGGAAGCTTGCACAGAGGATTTCTGTCATCCAGTGGGTCCTCCTGCTTCATCAGACTCAGACGAACCAGTTGCAACCGATGATTTCAAGCAATCTAATGATTCCTCAGCGACTGAAAATTATCGTGAGCCTCCTATTGATTGGACACATAATATCTATGAGAGGGACACGATAATTGATGCCGAGAAAATGGAAGATGCAATAGTTGAGTTTGATCAAAAGACAATTGATGAGGGAGCATCTGAAAGTGACAAAGATAGAACAATCAATTCACTGAGGGAAGAGGTAGTGTGACATTTCATTTTCTGCATGAAATTTCTCATTTGTTTTAATCTGTTATATCTACTTATTTTTCTTCGTCAATGAGACTGGCCCAGATTGATATGCTGAGAGCGAAAATCCAAGAGTTAGAATCTGAGTATGTAAAGAAAGGTACGGCTACACAGAATAAATAACCATTTATGGAGCTTGTTTTTTAACTTTCCAAAACTTCAAGCATATTTTCCTTGAGTATCAAAGTAAATGAACTTTATAAATTTCCTTGGAATGGGATGTGTAATGTAAGCAGAAAATGGAGGAACAAACACAGTTACAAGAAATCAATCTACTTCTGAAAGGCTTTCTCACGAGGAGAGTGATTCACCGAAGAGTTATACTCCACAAATAAGATACACAAAGTTGAAATTTAAGGTAATACTTCTCCATTGTAAGATTCTACTATTTTCTGGGGTGTGTTTGGCTAGTCTTGGTTGGACGTTGCAGTTGGACTTTCAATGTTCTTTAAATGCTTCCAGAATAAAGTCGTTAACCTTATTGAACTAAATGCTTGTATTATGCTTTCATCATTTCTCTAGTAGAAGATGTTTTGCTATATAGTGTAATTATCAATTTTCTTTGAATCCATAAACTTGTTTCTGATAATTTGATCTTTTAATTTTCGCGATTATTCTCCGTCCATTCTAGAAGCTCCAAGACATCTTCTAACTTTGGCTGTTCCGTTCTTTGGTTCTTTTATGAGAAGGTCGATACATATTTCGCTGTTGGATCCCCTCTTGGTGTATTTCTTTCTCTTCGCAATGCTCGTATTGGGATCGGTAATTCTTCTGCTGCCTATATTTAAGTGCATGTTGATTTTATTGCTTATTTTTACTCTGAATCTTGTGGAGGCAGTGGGGTATATACTCTGTACTTCTGTGATGAGCCTCTTGAATATATTACCAGTAAGCCTGTAAGGTTCTTGTCTGTTTGCATGAATGTTTCAGTAAGACATCTAGTGTTAGTTTTCATAGATCAAGTAAGTTTAATTTAACTAACATCAAAATCTGCTGACCTGTGTGCAGTATCAACCTAATCTTTATTTATCATGCAGCAGAAAGATTATCCTTCTTTTTACTTGTGTAACATTAAAAAATGTTTGTCAACTCCTCCTGGTGCATTGTGTTGCCTTTAGTTTTGCAAGTTCCAAGTATCCTATGGATCCTATAAACTCTGTCTGTTGGGGGTGGCTGGTGTCTTTTGATGCCTTGTTTACTTTATATGGGAGATATCTTAACTCATTTTCTTTTGGTACTAGGCAACTCAAGTTTGGAGTATGAAATATGCCAGTTCTTTTCTTCTCTCTGTTAAAGATGGTGGTGCATCTGGTTGCACTTAGTTATCATTTTTTATTTTCTGTTTTATCCTGGTATGGCAGGCAAGGGGAAAGATTACTGGGAAGAGGATAACATACTCGAAGAGATGCCAGCTTGTCGACAAATGTTCAACATTTTCCACCCTTGTGATCCCGTGGCATACAGGTTTCATAGTCGACATTGTTGCTATGTTTTGTCAATTTTTTTTGTTATACAAGCTCATGCCTGCTTCTCTCCTATTTCAGATTAGAACCACTTGTCTGTAAAGAATATCTCAACAAACGCCCCGTCATAATACCCTACCACAGAGGCGGGAAACGACTGCATATTGGTTTTCAGGTAAGGCCTCCATAGTTACATAATTAACGTGTTAGGTTCCTTCTACCATCTGTATTAATGTGCATCCTGTTACTGTTTGGTGCAGGAATTTAAAGAAGAAGTAGCTTTGCGTTCACAGGCTTTTGCAAACAATATAAATTCTGTAAAGGTGTGTTTTTAATTTTTCTCCCTAGTTGTTTGTGTTACGATACATGTACGTAAGGGTTGTCTGTTTAATTGAGATGATAAGATTTGATATCACTCATTAAGAAGTTTGATGTCCTGTAACCTTGCAAAGATAGACACATGAAGAGTTAAATCTTCGGCTTGCTGCTAATGTCTTATGCTGGTTGAATTACAAATGACCTTAACAAATTTCAGAGAATAGCTGTTTAAAGCAGAGATCCTCGTATGACCTTACGATATCAATGAATGGCTGGTTAAACTAGAGATCCTTGCTGACTTGATTGCTTGAAATGGAGAACAGTTATTTGTTTAGTTTTATATCAGCTTATTGTTGAAACCATGAACTGAACGACTTGGATTATGCTTCTATAACTTGATACTCTCCTTCCAATTATCATGCTGAAAATGTGTCTTCTTCATATTTAGCTTTTTATGACATGCTTTTTTCCCCCACAAGTGCGATGTTTTGAATCTTTAAATATCATCATATCTGTAGGGGAAATGAGGTTTCCACGTTTTCTTTTTTCGTCCTTATTTGGTTGGTGTGGCATGAACTCATCTGTCATTCAAAGTCATTTACAAAGATTGGTGGATTTGCTCGTTTTATTGTTTAGCCTTATTTTCTATGGTTAGTTTATGGTTTTCGATTATGTCTCATGATGCCAATGAGTTTTGGATCTTAATGACAATTTTTAATCAGGTAAAGGTGATTACTCTTTGTCAATCAAGATACAACAATGGCGAAGATGGTAATAGAAGCAAGCATTTCTTATTCGTCTGCTTTCTTCATTTTAGATTATAGAACTTCCTCTTCCTTTTTCTCAGTCACAGAAGCTATCAGCTCTGAATCAAGCTGGAGCCTCCATCTCCCCAAAAAAACAAAAACACACTTTAGCTTCCTATCTTTCTAGGTACTGATGTGGCACTTTTTTGCAGAGGAGTCCCAAGAGTACCAGGAGAAAGAAGAGAGGTCGTATGGTTCAATTATGATGGAGAGATTAACTGGAAGTGCAGATGGTCGAATAGATCATGTTTTACAAGTAAGTTCATTCGCCATTAGACCTTGAAACAATTGTGCAATTAACATTTTGTCTTCCCAGCTTCTTGTGCAATTGAAGGCTTAATATTTTGTGTGGGGTCTTTCTTTCTACATGGCTATTCTTCTTGATTTTTCTACCCTTTCATTGTTTTCACTGTAGCCGTTCTAGTCATTTGGTGTTCATACTCTGTTATGTATGCTTCATAGATGCGGACACCAATGGCTTGTGTTATAAACCAAAGAAGTTCTATATTTCATATCTAGAAGAGAAGATTACAAGACCTATTTATAATACTAATTCACCTAATCTATTAGTTGCCATACACCTAATTACACCTACTATACAACTCATATACATGTGCTAGCTATGATGTAGTACATGTGTATACATGTGCTA